GATTTATAAATATCTCAAAATTTTCAGTTCAACTCAAATTTGTTGCATCAAATCACCACAGCAGGCAAAAGCCTACAGCAGGTGTTGAACTCATTTTACATCGTGGGCTACATACAGCCCACTTCGAGCTTAAGTAGGCTGGAGGAGTGGAACTCCCTGTTCTGTCAGCATAAAGAAGTTACATATTTTAACTGGTCTTGATGCTTAATTGCTTTCTGTATTATAAACCTTTTGTCCTCAACAATGGAAAATGTCTGAAAATAATTTCAAATATCATATCTAGCTACATCTGCCTTTATATTCAGATATAGCTGGAAATCATTATTATCAAAATCAAAGCAACCCAACAAAACCCAGATAATGACGCTGAGCCTCCTTTAAAGCATGTCTTCGCCTGACCATCACGACCTGTACAGATGGTCGCGGTCGGTTGTGGGAGTCTGATCTAACAGCAGTGTAAACACAGTTGGTGTGACTCTCTGCTCTTTTTATGCTACTCTTTGAGCAATCCACAAATAAGGATGGCCTAAAAACAAACACACAAACACTAGCTACAGATTATAAAGATATCAATCTCAGATCCTATTTAAGAAAAAGGAAAAAAAACAAATCCAGTAAAGAGAAAAAGATTTGGCCCTTCATTTGATCTTCACACAGAAGAGGTAAACAGAGGGGGATCTTTTCAAAACTGTTGGAATTATGAATGCAGAGAAGTACCATCAGGTTTTGACCCCCCACGCGATACCATCTGTAAACATTTGATTTCTGGTGGCCTCATTTTTCAGCAATGATCCTAAACACTCAGTGCAGTTAAAGCAAACCTGATGGCCATGGATTGACCTTCTACAAGCCTTTGCGTCAACCTTACTGAAGCAATGTGGGGTCACTTGGACAGAAAATGAAAAAGACAACTAAGATCCAAAGAAGAGCTTTGAATGTCCTTCAAGAAACCTGAGAACTATTACTGAAGATAAATATCTCAGAAAGTTCATCTAAGAGAGTTGTGTTGAAGAATAAAGGTGGTCATACCAAATTTTATCTGTCAAGCTTGTGAGAATGGTCAAGACTTAGTTTATGACACCTATAGTCTATTTCCATGTATGTTTGCACATCTTTTGATGAACCATTTTGCTTATATCCCACTTTCCTAGCAAAATGTAAAGAAATAAATCTTGGCTAAAGACTTTAGCACAGTGTAGTACCTGTACTCAAACAATAAATAGCCAGGCTATTTAAATGCAGAGATGTGACTAACTGGTGAGATCAAGACTCACTAAACACAACAGGGAGACCAGACAACTACAGACAGAGCACAGAGAGAGTAGACAGACACAGGAACACGAATGGGGAAACAGATACATAAACATATAGACAGAACTCACTTCAA